TCAGCAAATGCAAGTGAAACCAATAGATCCTAAACAATATGGAAGTTTCTATTCTGGAGATTCTTACATTTTATTACATGTAAGTAAGATTGAGCTTGTTTTTTTTTTTTTTTTTAAATACTAATTAACAATCATTATTTATTTATTAATTTGTATTAATTTAGAATGTGTATCAAATAAACATAATCAATGATGTAAATAAATTTTTGAAAATTATTATAATTAATATAGTTTTTAATTAATTTTTATTATATTTCAGACTAGAAAAACAAAAAGTGGACATTTTGACTGGAATATTCATTTTTGGTTAGGAAATAATACTTCACAAGTATGTTAATCAGGTTTTTAATACTTTAATTCTCTATATATTATAATATCCTGTCATAAAATGAATTTACACAGGAATTGATAAGGACAAATTACTTTTATTTTAAACATACTGTAAGATGCACTTATCAAAAGTAATGAGCATTTGAACTTTTACACAACTGCCACACAGTACATGCATAAATCTGTGGATATCTGTGAAGTTCACTGAAAAAGGTTGTTAGGAAAATGTTATTTGGTGGGCACATTCTTTTTTAGCTAGTAATGAACTGATAGAAAACTAGTGCTTCAGCGTGTTAAAGCCATCAAGCATGTGATAAAGAGAAGACATTGATCTTGATTTCATCAAATAATAATAGCTTCATAACAACTTTTCTAGCATTTTTTTCCTTTCCTTCAGTTAAATTCACAGACATCCACAGATTCATGCATGCACAATGTGGCAGTCACATAAAACGTCAAACCCATAACTTCTGATTAATTCATCTTTTGAAAAAAATGTTTTAGATTAAAGTTTGTTTATTTTTGATTTAGAATCAAAATAGCAATAAAAAATGGGGATTCCCATTGAAGAAAATGAAACTGACATCATTTTCATCAAGTGTGGCCCCCTCAAAGTCAAACATTTTTGGTTCAATGAATTTTTTTTGTAGGATGTGTATTTTTTGAGTTATTTCATTGAATTGATTAAAATGGTACACCCTGTATAGCCCAATGACTAGAAATTTCAAAAAAATTTTAGTCTAAAAAAAAATGATTTGAATTGGAGTAATTAATATTTGAGAAACTTATCAGATAAGTTTATTAATTCAAATACAATAAAACCTTTCCAGATGAACATTCTTTTATTGAGTAATTTATTTTCATAATTGAAAATTAAGGTAATACAATGTTTGAGTCCTTAATAATTAAATTGAGTCTTTAAATCCTTTTCATTCCTGGACAGAATGAAAAGGATTTAATTTTCAATTATGAAAATAAATTACTCAGTTAAAATAATCCTGGGCTTATGTATAAACATCCTTTTATGCCAACCATCCCCTTTAAATGACCGGATTTTTTTGAACAGACTTTTTATTCCATAAGACTTGTTATTTTTAACCCTCTGTACCTGGACTCATAATTCCTCAATTTCATGCCAAGATTTTTTTTTCTGTGAGGAGGCACCTGACAACTTTAGGGGTCCTGGGCCAGGTACAATATATAGTACCTGACCCAGTTTAGAGGCATCAACATTCTAGTTAGCAGCATCACATAGTTTAAAATGAAAACAGACTAGAGATTTTTAAAATTTTAATTTAAATAAATAAATAAAAAATTAGTCATATTTTTTGGTAGATTAATAGACAAAGAAAACTTGAACTGGGCACAGATATATCTCTAAAATGGTATTAGTTAAACTTTATAAAACTTGTATACAGTCTCTCCCAGTTACAACTTACAGAAATTTAGAAAAATTATACTGTAATAGTTTTAGACTTATTTTTTAATAAAGGTGCTTATGATTTAGAAATTAAAAATGTAGATAAATACAATAAGTTAATTAAGCATCTAAAAAGTTCATACTGTAGATGAAATTATTAAATTAAAAAAAATAATTAAAATATTTTCTTTTTTTTTTTTCTTTTATTTTAATTAGGGTTTCTCATTTCCTGGTCTTTTGCTTGTCCTGGGATTCTGGAATAAAAGTGAACTGTTTCCGGGATCCCGGAAAATTCTGGGACAAAATTAATTATTTTTAAGATATACAAAATATCATGAAATCAAATGATATAATTATTTTTCGTTTTTTAAAGTAATTTAATACATTCTGTAACCTCCAAAATCATATTAATAATGCTGTATAAGATATATATTAAAAATTACCTTTGAATTATGTAGAAATTTTCACAAATAAAAAAATTTATTAAAGTTTGCTGGAAACTGCATACAACAACAATAAAAAAAAAAAGAAATTCTTTGAATTGAGTTAAAAATTAAAAAAAATGAACTTAGATCAAACTCCTAACTTAGAAGGTAATTTTTGCTTTTTATTTAATTAAATAAAATATAATACAAAATATTGTAAATTTTATAAGATTTTAAAAAGCAAAGATGGTCAATACTCCGATCACTCCAAGAATGCCCTTTCCGATTTAATTGATGTGAGTGGAATCATGTTTAATGCATTTAAGAGAAGACAAATATGTTTTTTCACCTGTATCCTGAAAGATTTCTATTTCGTTTTGAGATTGTAGTACTTCTTTTGTTCTCTAGTATTCTTGATTTGTCTACCTCAACTGCTTTAATAGAAACAACATAGCCCAATAATTCAGCAGTTCATTTGTCTTTAATAATCAGGTTATGAAGAAAAACTTCATACTTGCAGACTTCATACTCATTTGTATCCTTGCCCAATTGCATAACTTGGTGTTACACAGTTATTGAAGCTACTGGGCATGGTTAAAAATTAAGACAGCATAAGCACAATTATTCCAGATATTACAGGTAAAGAATTTTGAGAGTCCTGCCACAAATAAGCTATTGATTATTGACCATTTGTGACATGCCATAACAAACAAGAATAAAAAAAAAAAACTAATAAGGAGGTTTAAAATTAATAAATACAAATGTATTCTGACAATTTATGAGTTAATTATATTTTCTATTTGCAAAATTTCCTTAACCTTAACACAAAATAAGAAAAAAGGTGATTTTTAAGAAATTTGCAGGATTTTCCAGGATAAGAAAAATTTCCGGAGTTAAAAAAACAACCAGGATTGCGGGATCCTGTTTCAGAAACCCTAATTGTAATTATATGTTGTTGTTGTTGTTTTTTGTTTTGTCTGGGAAATCTAAGAAATCAGACTAGAGATTCTCCATTTGCATTATGTCTTTTTTTTTTTTTTGTTTGCAATAAAATTATATTGTACTGTTGAGTTATTGTATATGAAAAGTGCATAAAATCATTTTTAAAATTATTCTGAAAATATATTAACTTTCTTATTGACTTATTACTAAANAAAAAAAAAAATGCAAAATTAAAAGAAATGTATTAAAATAGTAAGTATTTTGTTTTGCTTGTAACAAACTTTTTGGTGGGGGTCGATGTGAGGTTTCGAAAACTTGTAGGGCCACCATATTCAACCCGCGGGCCACATGCGGCCCACTGAGCTTTTGTGAGTGGCCCGGACGTGAAAGAGAGTGAAAAATAATTACGTTGACTTCTGGAAAGTAGTGCCCGATCAATATAAGACTGTAAAAAAAGTTGCTCAAATTTGACTTACGTTGTTCGAATCAACGTATCTATGTGAAAACTTCATACTCAAAAATGAAATATGCAAAGAACATATATAGAAACTGGCTTACTGATTCACACCTGGATGCTGTTTTACGAATAGCATGTAGCAGTTACAAGCCTGATTTAAATGAATTGATGGCCAGATGGCCAAGCAGTCAAGGTGGCAGCCTACTGTTCTGGGGTACCCGGAATCAAATCTGGTCGGGTCAGGGAATCCCCAGAAATTTTATGGGGGTGGTCCGTTCGGATATGTCAGGCCCTGTCCCTCACCACCTGGTCGCACCATTGTGGGCCTGCTATGAGGCCCTCTTAGTGCCCACAGGGCAGAAAGAGTATAAAAAAAAATTTTTAATGAAATTGTGAAAAAATGTTCGCAATATCAACAGTCACACTAAATTTCTAGGGTAAATGAGAAATTAAGTAAGATTTTTATTATAATTGTTACGTTGTGGCCCACTTGAAATAGCTATCATGTGTGTGTGGCCCGAGAGAAAAAAAGGTTGAGTATGGTGGTTGTAGGGGGTCGATGATCAAAAAAGTTTGGCAACCCTTGATATAGAGCAACTATCCATCAGAGTCCAAGGCCAGAATGAAATGCTATCTTTTTCTGAGTCTTTTTTATATACTGGGTATGGACTTCATGGAGAACTGGCAAATAGAACCTTACTATTTTGTTGAAGTTTGTATTTTCTCTTGTGGAGTTTTGCTACATTATCTTGTAAACTATTGGGGCTACAATGACTATAAATATACCATTTTATAGTCTTAATCTGCCCTACAAATTAAGAGTAAGGGATTTTATGTAGCTGCTCAAGAAGAGTAAAAATAATTTATTTATTTATTTATTTTTCTGTCTAATCTTTTAAAAACACAGAAAAAAGTGCAGAAAAAGATGCTGAATCATAAAAGAGGAGGGAAAAAGGGAGAAATGGGCTAATCTCAAATAGAAAAAGTTCAAAAAGATATAGTACAACATAGTGTGTTCATTTTGCTTCATTTTATGCCCCAAAATATATATCTTAAACTATACGTATGAAAACAGCTATACTTTTGGAAAGGTTCCACACCTTAAAATCCTTTCTGTAGTTATCACATTTGATTTTTATGTCTACTTTAATGTGGAAATATGTTATATTCATATTTTTAATAAAAATAAACTTTTATTTCGATGCCTATATTTATTTAAAACAACGATATAAAATTGTTTTAACATCTGAATTTTTGCTATTTATATTTTGTGTATTTAGGTAGATATTTCTATAGAGTAAAATTTTATGAAAATTTTAAATATTTTTAATATTTCAAATTTTTACATTAAAAATAAGAATAATAGATTTATTTGATGTTTTAGAGGAAATAAATATTTTATTTAATAGTCAGTTGATTATTATAGATATTTAGAAGGTGGAGTTGCTTCTGGTTTTCGACATGTAACAGATGAAGTAGAAAAAAGATTATTTCAAGTTAAAGGTCGTCGCAATGTTAGGGTTCATCAAGTGGAGCTAAGTATTGATTCCATGAACAAAGGTGACTGTTTTATTTTGGATGTTGGTCGAGATATATATTTATGGACTGGAGAAAAAAGTGGAAGAATGGAGAGGATTAAGGCAATTCAAGCTGCAACTGGTATTCGAGATGATGTTCATGCTGGAAAGAGTATAATCCACATACTAGGTAATTAATAATAAATAAAAATAATTAAAATTTTGTTTTTATCTATATTTAATAGAAAAAATATTTTTTAATAGTAATATTAGAGTGATATCAAAATCACTTGATGTCACTTTTGTTTACAATGGATACCAAACTTATTATAAACAGAATACAGTAGATGGGCACAGTGGATGGAAAACTGCGTTTTGTGTGTTGACTAATCATGTGTAGGTTCATAGTTTGCATAGTTTATGGAAAGTGATTCTGTCCTTGAAGATCACGGATTATATCAATCTCCGTTCTTTCTTTTGTCTATTCTGATTGGCTCAACCTCCCTTTTTTCAGCTTTCCAATTGGTCCCTTGTCTGTCCCTAAGTGAAAGACGAGACATGTTCGGGTCACGAGAAAGGTCTATTTCGGNCGGCCATAAAAATTATATTTATATTAATGATGTCTCTAAAGTTCAGTGAATTTTTCGCAAAAAAAATAATTTATCAGGAAGCACACAAGCACCATTCAATGGCAAGCTCCATGACAAAAACAAGCTTAAGCAATGGCATCATCAAATGGTGCACATTCGGTAAATAATCCTACAATTTTTTGTTTATAGCATAATTTATATGGATTATTCCCAAAAAATTATACATATTTTGGAAATGTTGAGTCGAATTAGTCTAGAATCGATTAATTTTATGGAAGAAAACCTTTCAAACAGCCGTAGTCCATAAACTGCATACGTTGGGCTGTGATTGGTTCATGTATTTAAGGACTCGTAGAAAATGGATTCATAAAACCGGAACATATCTACTGTGTTATGGGGGAGTCAACTGTATAATACTGACCATTTTCCAAATTTATATAATTTGATTTTTTTTTTTTGTCACCTGATGTTGTAAGCAAGCCTATTTTTAAGAACAATCAGTTAATTGCACTTCAGTGATGGTCTAGGGTCCTTTTGTATGTGGGTAGTGGTGGAAGAGACAAAGATGTCAAGTATCTTACAAAAACCATTTATTTTAACATGAAATAAACTTACACTAGAAAAAATAGCTTTCCTTAAAACAATTGGTTGTTCTGATGTCCTGGGCATCAACATTGTTTCTTGTTCGTCGATTTGTGGCTTCTGGGCTAGTCTAGAATCGATTAATTTTATGGAAGAAAACCTTTCAAACAGCCGTAGTCCATAAACTGCATACGTTGGGCTGTGATTGTATTTAAGGACTCATGTATTTAAGGTGGGGAGACTCTGTCAGTTGGCGTTGGTGACACAGTCCGAGTCTGTAGTGGCACAGGTTACCAGTTGGGCACAGTGGATGGAAAACTGCGTTTTGTGTGTTGACTAATCATGTGTAGGTTCATAGTTTGCATAGTTTATGGAAAGTGATTCTGTCCTTGAAGATCACGGATTATATCAATCTCCGTTCTTTCTTTTGTCTATTCTGATTGGCTCAACCTCCCTTTTTTCAGCTTTCCAATTGGTCCCTTGTCTGTCCCTAAGTGAAAGACGAGACATGTTCGGGTCACGAGAAAGGTCTATTTCGGAGAATCTACCTGACACCATCCGTTAACTCTGGACAGAAGGTGCTGATGGAACTTTGAAACCTGCACTCATATTTTACCTCGTTGTCTAGTCTGTGACGTTTTAGAATTTTAACGACCTGATGCGATGCCCTTTTTATCATTAACCTTTCCCCTTTTCAGAATTTTTCTATGTTCTAATTGTTTGTATATGAGCGCCTTGTGAAAGGTCCATCTCTACTGGTCAATGTTTGTTTACATCTGTTGCGTTGCATTTGACATTAGTTTTTTTTTCTTGTCTCCGTCTCATATGACTTGGACAACTAATACGACCTTTGATTGGCTTTAACAATGGAAGTTTTTCTAGTTTCGTTTTAATAATTTTTATAATAACTTTCAATTTCAACCCGTTTTTGGAACCTCACAATGTCCATTTACTATTTCTTTATCAATAAAATTATATCAATTAATATAATACCTTACAAATTTAAAATATGTAGTGAAAGTAAATAATAACAAAGAAAATTTATCTGAACAAATACAGTAGATCAAAAATTGAAATTACTTTGGATATGCCGTTTGAATCAAATTAAGTTATAAGTTGACTTAATACTAGTACTATGAGTCAATATACACTGACACAAAAAACACCTTCCTTACTTGTCTAGCAACTTTTATTCTGAATTACAAATGTTTTCAGCCACATTTAGAAGCTTTCTTTATGTAAAAAGCTGTTCCATTTGAAACATTCAAAAATGGAGAAGAAACATTTGCTGTGTAATTTTCAAAGCACATTATATTTTATCTTATTATTTNTTGTCATGTTGCTTGCCACTTAACCTAATTCTTTTTGTCTGTTTTTTGTAAATTAAATAAAACAACAGGTTGTTCCTTAAAATAGCAGTAAGTTACAATAATATTTATTTAAATTAATAATATTCATTTACATAAGAAATGCAATTAACATCAAGTCTTAATTTGCATTTAAAAGTGGCGTGATAATTGCCTTTAGAAACCTGTCCAACATCCCACTATATCTAAGTTAAAATAATTTAAACTAAGTATGGAGAGTTATACAGTAGACCCCCCTATAACGCGGTAGATATGTTCCACGTTGTAGGAATCCTTAAATACATGAGCCAATCACAGCCTGGCATGTGTGCAGTTTACGGATTACGGCTGTTTGAAAGGTTTTCTTCCATAAAATTAATCGATTCTTGACTAATTCGACTCAACATTTCCAAAACACATAATTTTTTGGGAATAATTTGTATAAACTATGCTATAAACAAAAAATTGTAGGATTACTTACCGAGTGTGCACTGTTCGACATCGCCATTGCTTAAGCTTGTTTTCGTCGCAGAGCAGCGCACCAAACGGTGGCCGCGATTTCTGATAAGTTATTTTTCTGTGAAAAATTCATTAAACTTTGGGGACATCATTAATAGAAATAATTTTTATGGCCATTGAATAAGAAATGTTTCTTTCACAAGAAATGTATAAAATTACAGTGCTGTATTAGACTTATGGTACCTAATTTACATACTGTACAGATGATAGTAAACTCAACTTACCTGTTTAAACTCTCCGTAGTGTGTAAGTAGTTCGGCTGCGCGTCTATTGGTCCAGATTCGACCAATTCTGTCACGACATGAGTCGGCAATGACATTTTACTGCGTTTTATGTGCCCCTTTTAGCGTCTTTATACGAATACTGTTGCAATTTTTTCGCCGCATTATAGGAATCTGTGTTATAGGAACCTGCGTTATAGGGGGTCTACTGTAGATACATTTTTGATTTTTAAAAAATTTTATTTTAAATGAAATAACCCATTGTTATGCTCATATATAATTTTGCTTATGCACAGAGGGGGTGTCGATATTGGTATAGTATTTTTCTAGAATTAGATTGTTAAATCTTTTTGATTTTTAAAAAATTTTTTTGTTTATGAATAAGGTTGGCATCCTCCCATATCTTTGCATTCCTAGGCAATCACCTAGGTATGCCCAATAATAAAACCGATCTTGACAGTATGCGATTAATTATCATAACTGTTTATTATCGATATGTTGAATATAGTAATAATAATTGAATCAAGCTTTATTATTCAAATAGATGTTGTTTATTAACAAGTCTTTGAATTAAGTAAGGATTTCATAGTTAAAATGAGTGAAGTATACTGAGATATTTTATTTTTTAATAAAATTTGATTTGATTACTTTTCAACAGTTATAATAAATGACTGTTGAACACAAGATTGTGTTATTAATTAAACACTTGGTTTTTTCCATCTTTATTCAGTTGATACGGGTACTTTTACATGTTTCGGGCACTTATAACACAATCTTGTGTTCAACAGTCAATAAATAGTAAAACACGTTTCAGGAAATAAAAAACAAGTTATAATAAATGTTAAATTATTTTAGATGAGAGTTGTTCAGCTGATGAAAAAGAGAAGTTCTTTGAAGAATTGGGTGGTGGAAGTGATGCAGATGTTAAAGATGCAGAGTCTGGAGGAGATGATGCAGAACATGAAAGAACTTTAGAAACTGAAGTTAGTTTACACAGGTAAAAAAAATAATTTATTTATAAAAAAAATCTGAAGTTTATTTCAAGAATAATAATAATAATAATAGATAATTTTAATAATAAACTAAATTTAAAATATAATTATTTAAAGAATATAATCTTAGAGAAGAATTATCAACTTAAGTAATGAAGTTATTTATTACAGTTATAAAAGAATAATAATAATATGAATATGGTAAAATTAATATGTCAATGTTTAATATAAATTATAAGTCTTTTAAATATGAGTTTTGGTCAAAACATATTATAAAGTAGCTGTTACCCGCAACTTCGCCCGTGCGAATTTTGCAAGCAAACCCCATTTATATTCAGTATTTCAACAACCATAGTAATTGTTATATAACACCTACTGCTGAGAGTGATGAGAATTGCTGAGAATCAAATGAACTGTTTTCAATTTGATTAATTTTCTGGAACGTTTACAATCATTCTATAATCAAACCAATATGCAATAACAAATTCAAATTTAAAATGGTTTGAACATTTGGTTAAAAAATTGAAATATATAAAAATATTTATAACAATGTCTGAAATGTTATCAATTTAATACACCTAAGTACTCAATAAAGACTAAACGTAGTTGAAAACAAAAAATCACATCTAAAATAGTACAGTAGAAGCCGTTCTTCAGGTTAAGCCTTAATACTCTCCCTCTCCCCCACGGGGGATTTCAAAAATCCCTTCTTAGTGTGCATTTTCAATGCACACTAAGAAGGCGTACCCTAACTGTGTACCAAATTTCACCTCTTTAGGTTCAGTAGTTTGCTCTGGGCGATGATAATCAATCAGTCAGTCAGGACAAGTAATTTTATATATTTAGAGTAAAAAAAGGTAAATAAATTTACAAATTTTCATTGCTTTCAATTTGATTAATTAACAGTCATGTTTCTTTTGGCTGGATGCATAAAGAAGCATCCAGCCAAAATCCAAACAGCATTGAATAAGTTCTTCTCTTTTAATAAAAACATAAAAATATAGATGGGAAATTTATATCCCTAATAGGATCTATTGGTTCTAAATTTCCATATAAAATGTTAATCCAACAGAAATTTTTTTAATAATATATGCTGTTTATAAGCTATTAGCATTTTATTGGAGGTGTTGATTTTGACTCAAATGTGTTCACTAGTACACTTGATGTACAGTACAGTACAATAGAGTTCTTATTAAGATAATTTATTGAAAATTTTTAGTAGTTGCTTGGTATCCTATGTAGATCTTGTTGCTCATATCCATTTTTGCATGAGTTATATTATTTAATACATGTGAAAAGGTTTTATTTGATAGATATTATGATTATTGTCTCAATGAAATGGAATAAATGGTAATATTTATTTTTTAAATGAATTTAAATATTTAAAGCTATATTTGTTATGAAGAGACTAGAATTAATAAATACTAAATGTTACAATTATGGAAGAACATATTATATATATATATATTAATATATAGATTCTAAATGATATTTATATTAACTCACTTTGTAATTTTAAAAATTTTAATAATTATTAGATTTCAATAAATCAGTCAACTGAAAAAATATTTTTTATCACTATATATCATTTTTTAATTTCTATAGACATTAATTATGTCATTTAATTTTTTTCAGAATATCAGATGAACCTAAATTAACTGTTGATAGAATTGCAGAAAAACAATTGAAACAAGAATTCTTGGAATCAGATGTAAATTAATGAATTCTTTATATATCAATTATCATTTTAAATAATATTAGTATTCTTTTCTTATTATTTACATTTTACAGAATTGTTTCCTTTTGGATGGGGGTATGAGTGGAATATTTGTTTGGGTTGGAAAAGGTGCTAGTCATAAAGAAAGAGTAGAATCTATGAAACTTGCAGAGGTATAGTTTAATTTTTTTTAAACTTTATAAACATCATTTTTTTGTATGATTGTAAATATTGTAATATTAATATTTCTAATTAGCCACATTCATTATTTTCATTAAATAAAAAAGATAGATAGGTAGATATTTAAAATTAATTATGAATTTAATTTATATTTCTCCTATTATAATGTTTGAAAAACATTATGTTGTGACAATTGCTCATCATAAAATATTTAATGTTGGACATAATGCCCTTTGGTAAGATTAAACCACCCATTCTTCCCCATCTGGATTTTAATCAATCATTCTTTCTACATGCGGATACATCTGACAAGTGTTCTGGCGCCGTCCTCGAACAACAACAAGGCGAAGATTTGGTACCAACGGGATTCTTTAGTTACAAATTCCACTGTGCCAAATTAAATTACTCCACGATTGAAAAAGAGTCTTGCTATTGTCCTTGCCCCCTGCCATTTTTGCCCTTTGATCCTAGGCCAACATGTGCTGATATATTCCGACAACAAGCCCTTATCTTATTTAAAGAACATGAAAAATCATAATGGCTGGCTGATGAGGTAGGCAATTAAAATATCAGATTTTGATATCGAGATTAATCATGTGAAGGGTCAGGATAACTATGCGGTGGATTGCTTGTCGAGGATGTATAGTGATCCTTGATCCTACAAATTGATTATTATAAATGCTAATGGTAAAAAGAGAACTTGTTAGAGAAGGTTATAAAATCCCAGGATAATGACAAATTTTTTGGCCCAATAAAAATGGCTCTCTTAAAGGTTCATCATCAGTGTCGGAAGGTGAGATCAATGGTGTATGGAACAGGAGAAATAAGAAGCACTTGTGTTGGTAAAAATGCTGTACCTGAAGTTATAAGAAACTTTCATAGTAATCCTCTGGCAGGGCATTGGGAATGGGAGAAGACAAGAAAGCTTATTAGCCAGTACTACTACTTCCAGTGCCCGCTCGAGGCAAGTTTTAGGATGGAGCGAGATCCTATTATAGCGCCCCCCTTGGTTGCCCCTAATTTATACCCTTTAATTTTCTTTACCACTGAGACGCCCCCTAGGACTTAGCACCTGGAGCGGCTGCTCCGTTCACCCTATGGTAGGGCCGGCTCTGACTACTTCTGAGGGATGAATAAAAGCATAAACTGTATATAGAGCATTGTAGAGAATTCCAGATGCACAACCTTCACCAGAGCTCCATTCCAGGAGACAGAGGTTGCAGAATATCCGTTTCAAAAGATATCTGTCGACATCATAACTACATGTAAAGGAAATCACTACATCCTCGTTATGATTGATATGTTTACCCGTTTCACTGAGGCCTCCCCTCTACCTGACCAATCTGCTAATTTGGTAGCCAATGTGATATATGATACCATTATTTGTCGCTACATCCACAAATAATTATTTCTGACTAGGGAGTGCAAATTTTACATCTTCTCTGTTTGAGAATATGTGCAGAGTTCTTGAGATAAAGAGGAATATCACTATTGCTTATAGATCCTGTTTGAATTCTATCTGTGAACAGGTCAATAAATCAATAGTTAATGTCATCATGTGCATATTGGATGGAAATAATGCTCAGTGGGATCAGTTCATATGTCTGGCATTGTTTGCATATAATGTCGCAACCCATTCTTCGACCAATGAACCCCCTGCTTTCCTGCTTTACAGGTTTGACCCAAAACTTCCACAGACTCTGCAAACTAGAGATTCTCAAAATGCCCGGGATACAGGCGACTATCATGACTTCTTACTGAGGCAACTAAGAGTCATCTGGGACACTGCTTATGATTTGAGCTGTGAGAAGAATCACAGCAACAGAGAGAGACAAAATAAACTTTTGTGTTTATTTTGCCTATGCCAATTTAGTGTGGGGCAAAGAGTGTAGCTTCTGAGGAAGGCAAAGGGTCGTAGATAAGGAAAATTCTCCTCTAAATATACAGGCCCTTATCGGATTGTTTGCATTCTTGAACCTGTTAACATAGAAATCAAAGGGGAGGTCAAGAGGCAACAAAAGTGTTGTTCACATTGACAAAATGAAACCTTGCCTAACTAGCATAATTTATCCAAATAGACCCAGGTGGATGCAGAGGTGCAAGAATGATGAATTTGGGATGACGACAATCAAGCCAATATCACTTACGTCCCAACTGCACATTATAAATATGGGAATGCACTGACTTGTAGTAACTCTGAACAAGAAATAAACCATTCAGATAAGAGCAAATCAACCTACTCAAAATTACAATCTTCAGGGTAGAGACTTTTGCCACTTGCACTATGGAAACTGACCTCAAGGGGGGGCATGTGTGACAATTGTTCATCATAAAATATTTAATGTCAGACATTGTGTCTGACATTAAATATTTTATGTTCCATCGTCCATTAGGCCTCGAGGGGCAATATACCCGGCGGGGGAACAGGAGGGATATAAAGGGTTGAAGGGCCGACAGGATCGATCTCTTTCTTTCTGTCTGGAGTTCTGGATAGACCAATAACGGGATTGACTACAAAGGGGGATTGGAGAATGGAACTGTCAGAGAATAAGGAATACGGAATGAGCTTCTGAGAAACCCATCCATGTACTTGATTGTATTAGGTAAATATAATATTGTAAATAATTTTCGCGGATTGGGAGAAAAATAATTGTCGAGAAAATCAGAGAACTGTAACAAATATCAAACTTGAGAAAATAAATTTTATAATGTATTGTCTTTATAAAATGTTTTGATTCTTGAAATGATAGGTATTTAATGAATAATATTTTTAATTTTCAATGTTGAAAAATGAAATGCTTATAAGTTGCTGTCTTTATAAAATATTTTTCTTTACATTATTTTCTTGCACAATTAAACTGTGCTGTGATGGAAAGTTATTCAAATTTATTTATATAAGCAACTGTTTGATTCGTAATGATTAACCAGAAATAATTCTGTTACTAAAAATATAAACACTATTTATAAAATATTTTCAAATGTATAATTATAAAGAAAATTTTATTATAAATTAGTGCATAGTAAAAACTTAGTTTGTAATATAAATTTGTTCTATATTGCTATGTGAATTATTATTTTCAGAAATATTTGGATTATCGTGGCTATCCAAAATGGGTTTCTGTAACACGTGTTATTGCTGGAGCAGAACCACCAAATTTTAAACAATATTTTGTCTCTTGGAAAGAACCTGAAGAAAAAATTGGACTTGGAAGAGTATATACTCCTGAACAAATTGCTGGTTGGTTTAATTAATTAATTAATTAATTTTTTAATATTTTTATTTTCTCAAATGAAAGTAAAATTAATTGATTGATTGGCTTATGCATAGAAAGATAAAGTTAATTGTTAAAATGTATAATTAAAGTTAATAAAATTATTACAAATTTTTTGAGATGCTTTGCAATTCAGATATAGTAGGCCCTTTATTTAATATATTGATTGGGAATGAGGCATGGGCTGTTTACAAGAGTATGTTAAATTAAATGTATTTTAAAACATATTAATGATGAATTTAAAACGTACAGAATGTATTAAAATCTTATTATAATGTACTGTACATTGAGTAATTTACAGTATACTTATTGATCCAATCTTTTAGTGTTCTATTTGCAAATAAGAAAAAGATTCTAAATTTTTGCTCTACTTTGCTCTGCTCTGCTTTAAAAGTTTAAAACTTTTAAAAAGTAATTAAAAAAAAAAACATTTTTTTTTTTAATTTAGCATCTGTAACTGAACCTGATTTTAATGTATTGTCATTGCATCGAGAAAAACGTCTTTTACTTGCAAAGAATTCGGGTAAAGCCTATGGTTTTATGCCAGATGATGGATCTGGTAATATAGAAGTAAGTTTCCATTATTTTCATTTACATCCATTCTTCTTTTTAATTTATTTTATAGACTAATATAAAATTTAGTATTAATTTAGTGTATATTATATTTCTTAAAAGTCATGTATGAAAATTTGAACATTTCTATTTTATAGATTTGGAGAATTGAAAATTTTGAACTTGCTCCTGTGGATGAATCTGCTAAAGGAATGTTTTTTGGAGGTGATAGTTATGTATTAAAATATACATATAATATAGATGGTAGAGAAAGATACATAATATATTTTTGGCAGGTAAATACAGATTTTAACATTATTACTAAATATTTATATTATTATAAGAAAATTTGAAATTTACTTTTCATAAGAAGTGTATACAGAATTCTTTTTTAAAAAAATAATTTTATTTTTATGAATATAATTGTGTTTTAATGAAATGTTAGGTCTAATTTTACTATATTATTTTATATAAATGATATCTTAAATGTAATGTCTATTATATAATTAAAGTTTATGAATTTGAAATAAATTTGGCCAATCCAAAACATAAATATTTAGATTTTTGATATGACTATTTTATACAATGATAGTTCTATCTGAAATATGTCTTGAAAAATATATAAAGTATATCTTTTATTTTCAATATATTTTTTTTTGTATAATTTTAATTTATATATTTTTCAATAAATGCTAAATTTAAATATATTGTTATTTAAAGTTTTAAAAGCACACATCTGGATTATTATTTTTTTAATAAAGTAATTTATTCTAATTTTTCAAAGTGAATTTCCATGTATAATGTTTTGAAATCATAAAATAAAATTTAGTATTGACTTTTTAACAATCTATACATTTTTCAGCAAAAGACTTGGCAATGGACCTATTTGGATCTTATTTCAAAATGCTAATAAAGTGATAGATTTAATAATAATAATATTCATTATTCTCTCCAGGTTCTTAATTAAGTAATGTAGCCTATTTTGGATACTTGTCATTTTTTCAGATATCTTTTCTCTGTCCTTCCTTCTGGATGATAATTCAAGATTTTTCTTGTTATTCTCTCTGTTCGTTAAGTCAATTTTGGAATTTGATCATTCTCTAACCTTATGCAGACCTTGAGCAAGGTTGAAAGCATTTGTGGGAGTTTTATTAAATGTTTTTTGTTACCAGACATAAAGGTTCTTCAAGAGTTGTCATTAGCACTGGTAATTAAGTTGGAAGATATCTTTGCCTTGTCAATGTGGTCAAACCATCTTTTTCTATGTATAGTGTTAAGCCCCAATAGACCTAAGTCTGTTAGGCGAGGTTGTCAGGTAAAGGCACAGACACATTAATCAAGGACTTTACAATTGTGGTATAATTTAAACAATAAAGTTTAATCATGAATACATAAAGACAAAGTTTAATCTATTCTAATGACATGAGAGGAACATAAAGACAAAGTTTAATCTATTCTAATGACATGAGAGGAACTTAAATACAATTTGAGGTTTCAGAGAGAAGGATCGAAGAAATTACTTAAATATTAAGAACACAGCAATTCACGTACCGACAAAATAATAGTCTTGGGATGTTCTTTGAAGTTTCCTGTATTAGTATTTCCACTTATTTCTTGGACCATTAATGTATTCTCAATGATGGGTTCGGATTCGGTTCACCCTTCAATTGAAAGTCCACACGTGTCGTTTTCTTTCTTCTTTGTCTTCGCACCACATAGTCTATTTTTATCTCACAATGAGCCAGGGCCGAAGGAAAAAAACAAAAAGTACCTGGTGGACGGGAGTCCAAACATTTATATCCCCCGCCATTGAGTGTGACGTAATGTCAGTCGCTAACCAATCAGCAAGGGCGACGGGTTCTACCCGTCCGCAATCCGATATCAGGGAAGAAAACGAAATTTTACAATAAAACCCAATATATATATATACATAAATAACGGAAACAACTATACAATAGTGCTTATGCACTACAATAGTAATTGTGTGATTAACCAGAGTAATTTTAAGATTTTGTCTTATTTTATTGTTTGGAACTTTATCTTTGAGCCTAGTGTCAGCTTTTCAATGGAGGAATCTCATTTCTATTCACTTTTGTTATCTAGATACTGTTTCCATAAAGTGGATATTGCTATTACTTTATATATGTTTGTCTTGTATGTTTTGTGTACTATATTAGTTATCAGTTACTTTTAGTTTATATAGTTTATCAGATCAGTTTATCTGTTTAACTTGGCTCCCCTAACATTATATCCTGAGTGCACCACTGGCTGCCATCTTAAAAGCTCCAAGCTTATGTTCATTTTCTGTTAGACTTCTTTTTTATGATTCTCACTGGACCTTCAGTTATCTTAGTTATTTGGAGTGCATAGTCCTCACTATGCTTTGTCTCAACAGGCAATTTTTTACTTGAAATTGCCCAGGCCTTCCATGTGGAAATGATGAACAGAATCCAACTAATAGCAACTCTTTTTTATTTATATTATTATTTTATAAGATAATATATAAAGTTTATTTCTTTATTAGTGCTTTTGTTTTGAAAGTGTATGAAGAATTTTACTTTAATAATATGTTTAATTGCATTTACAATAATAATAAAAATAATAAATTTTCATAGGGTAAAAATAGCAGTCAAGATGAAAAAGCTTCTTCAGCAATATGGGCTGTAAAATTGGACAATGATCTTTTTGGAAAAGCAATACAAGTAATTGTTTTAAATTTATGATATATAATGTTGATAAACAAAAATTTTTTTCAATAATTAATTTGATAACAAAATTATAGAATTCATGTGTTATTTTATATAATTTATTAAAAAGCAATTTTTATAATATTCTATGAGATTATAGAAACTGTCAAGACTTATATTATAAATATTATTTAGGCTTTCATAACAATATCCAAATTAATTGTAATGCAGTAAAACTCCAATTAATCAAGGTAATGTTGATTGATGCTACTTCAGCAGTGGCATGCCGTCATTAGAAGCGTTGAAAGCGCCGCTTCCCTCATATTCTCTAAAAAAATAAATAAATATTAATTTTAATTATATGAAAATAATCGCACAATATTTTATTATAACCGCATTATGTATCTTATTACAAATTTCTATACTACACGTGGAAAAAAAAATTGCTATTGTATATTAGAATATTAGTGGCGGAGTGGAATCTCCTGTATTTTCAGATTACGAAAAGCCAGATTTGCGCATGCGCTTTACAGAGCACCAACCTCACCCGGTTTAGCCGGTGGAAGCCTACGACCTTGGGTGAAAGCTGCACACATATAAAGATTCCAATTCTATCAAGGACCGGTTCTGGGCTGTTAGCCGCCTGCCCACTAGATATTTCGATTACGTGAATAACGAGTAGATTTATAACTTAACCCAACCGATAAGAATTTACTGGTATGTTTTTACAATAATTCCGTATAGTTGACAGGAGTTAAAAAATCCATTAAAATATTTGATATATTTATTCCGCTCTCCGATTTTATATTACTCACGGATTTCGATGTTAAACCAGTGATATTACGATTTCGTATATCCCATCTTTAAGGGGATGTCGAAAAAAACGTGTACAATTCTTGTATAATGTTAAAAAATTAACCGTTACTTCGACAGCGTCATTTACAACTAAATTTAATGAATGAGAGAGATGCACCAGGTACAGAAAAGGCTCTAGAATTTATTTTCCTTAAATTTACGATTTATATACCGTGTTTCCCCGAAAATAAGACATCCGCAGAAAATAAGACCTAGCACAGATTTTGCTGAATTGCGAAATATAAGACCTCCCCCTGAAAGTAAGACCTAGCGAAGTTTTTTTTTTAGTCATAACGGTCATCGACAGATGGTTGAAAGTTGCCGTTGGCTTTTTGAAAGTACAGCCACTGATTGGTCAGCAGACAATTACGCCACACGGCGTGATTTGCATAAGACTATGGCTTGGGAATCACAGATTTGCATAACGTTACGGCTGGTGATGGCTAATTGGTAGGCTGGGAATCACACCACATGACATTTGCATAGTGCTACGGTTCAGTAAGCACTAATTGGTCAGTGAGTCCGATGTTGACGCTATAAAAAGGCGACAGTTCGACACACCGGATATACGTCACTCTCGTCTAAGTTCGACTTGGGAATTTTTTTGTTCATTAATAAATGTGAAGTCCTTCTTCCTGGAAAAAATAAGACATTCCCTGAAAATAAGACCTAGCGCATTTTTCAGAGCAAAAATTAATATAAGACACTGTCTTATTTTCGGGGAAACACGGTATCTGTTGTCGTAAAAATTTGTCTTTCCACTTTTTTCCCAAGACTACAAATATTCAAGTACAAAGTAACTGGTTTCGACTTATTTCTACTTAAAAAGTATTTAAATAATTAAGCGATTAGGGAATTGGGGACGTAAACAAAATCCTGATGAAAGAGCCGGAATTTTACTTAAACAAAAGCCTAACCGGACCAATATCTAGCCGAGTACAGTGGGACTGATTTCTTCGTAATATTAGATGTAATAAAGACAGAAATTTTTCCAGTTCAATGAAAGTGAGTAAAAGTTGTAAATTTTGGAAATTTCCGTGGACACCTGGTCTTAAAACGAATTACAGTAGTTAGAAAACAAATGACTTTTAAGTTTAACAAATTTAGATTTTTACAGCTATGATGAGAAACGTTTAAAATTTACAACAACCCTGTCGCGTCCTTTGAGATATACTAGTGATGAGACAAAAGAGACATTAACCGGTATCGGCACCCTCGGGATTTGGCAAGCATGCACCGCACCGCACACCTACCAAGACCGTCTCTGATTCCATCCACGAGCCACTGGTAGGGAGCAATTTTAACTAGGTGGATTGTTTTAATATTTAAAAAGTAAAGACTATTTTATGTTATTTTTATGTACGTTTCTTCACAAAACTATATTTATAATTTTCTTTAAAAGTATATTCATACAATTGAATATTTTGTACCAGGTATGTATAATTGTATATCATCACACATTTTATTTTAACAAGTAAGTTTTTATAATTTTATTTTTAATTTTAGCCCTTATATTATAGCTAGCAATTTAGAATGTAATTGTGATATCGAAAATTTATTTCAAAAAGTTTTGGCTCGAGACCATATAATGAAAAAGAAAAAATTTGTTCGACATTTTCATGATAAAATTTATGAAGATATAAAATGGCTTTGTGGATGCATAAAAATGCAAAATTTGTTTTGTTGGCCTTGCCTACTATTTTCAAATAAAATTAGTGTGTGGAATGAGATTGGCTTTGACGATTTAAATAATTTGAGTAAAGCTGGCAAAAGACACGAAAATCCTAAATCTCGCATCGATTCTTTCGTAAAATTGAAGCAATTTGGAAATCAAAATAGAATAGAATTTAACATTAGTACACAATATAAAATATATATTGAAAACTATAACGAGATAGTTACGGCTAATAGATATACTGTATTTTAATTAGTAAATGTTATTGAAGCGAGAATTGGCGTTTAGAGGGCATATAGAATCTATTAAATCTAATATAAGAGAGTTAATTATATTGAACTTGTTTATTTATTAAGTGTGTTAGATAATCTATTAATTAAAAATACATTTAGAGAAGTCTACGGTTTTTACTGGCTTATCGAACAAACGAATACAAATTGACCCTAGACTAGGGGTCGGCAGTTTGTCAAGTGAGAAGAGCCAAATTGTCATGAAAACAGGATAACAAAAGTACCAGAGAGCTGCATATTAATTTAAATGTGCGAAATATGACACAAGACAGGGGCGCCCCTAGCGGACGTTTTTGGCATAACGTTACACGGATGGACGGACACATGTTCAATGTGTTATATATATAGATATGCTTCAAATGCTACCACTCTTATGCGACACATATTGATCAACGCGAGTGTGGTCATGTGTGAATGGCGTACGAGTCGAAGTTTGTTCAGCAGCTCTATCTCATAACATAAACTCATAAGTTATAAGGCTGCGGTGAAATGAGATGAGGTGAAATTGGAGTTTATGTCCGAAGAGCCGCAAACGTCTATGCAAAGAGCCGCATGCGGCTCGCGAGCCGCTAATTCCGACCCCTGCCCTAGACCATTGCTGACTGATTGCCCCTGGAAGTCGGCTTCTTATAGAAACACAGCTTCCCTATCATCAAATGTCACGGCACGCCACTGTACTTCAGATAATGAAAACTCAGATAAAACATGGTTACAGTCATTTTGAATTATAAATTACAAAACATAAGTAGTGAATTTAATCCTATATAAGAACAAAACTTTTTATGTTATTTATTACTTAGTTAATACATTCAGGAAGAAGTTAAAGGAAAGACCTGACTCAATGGTATAGCCTTGGAAAGGAAAGGGGGATAGGTATGGTTAATTAGAGAATGAGGTGAGGTGGGAATGAGAAGGAAAAGAGAAAGGAAAGGAGGGTCACAGACCGTCTGCCAAGAATCAATTGTGGAATGCAAATGATACAGAAGGAACTGCATGTGAATAATTTACATGTAAGAGGGTTAGACACGACAATTACCATTTTGTGGGGGATGATCAACAGGTACCACCATGACAACAGGAGCCAAGAGAAAGGTGTTAAGGTACAGTAAGAGCTGATAGATATCAATAAATAATGCATTCATTTTACAGGGTAATTAATACATATTGCAAGGGAAATACGTAGTACAGTGGTTAAACATAATACAGCAGATAATCATAGTACAATGGTTATACATGTTACAAAGGTTAAACATATGACAATGGTTATACAATTTGCAATGGTTGTATCAGGTCAGTCCATAAGTTCGTATTTTATTAATCTTGTTTTACTGTTAAAAATGCCAGTTTAATGTGATACTTTTTACACTGAAGTGTTAAATTGGATCTCATTCATATTATACTGTTCAGAATTGGGAACATTTCAATTGTTTATTTTCGTTAAAATGGAAGTAACAGATGAATATAAGAGACATGTTTTATACTTTTTATTTTTAAGTGATGAGAATGCTACAAATGCAGCCAAAAAATTAAATACTGTTCATAATCAAACTGTAATTAGTGTAAGGACTGCGCAGAAGTGGTTTGAAAGATTTAGAAATAATGATTTTAGTGTGGAGGATAAGGCTCGTACTGGAAGACCCATTGACTTTGATGATGATGCTCTCTCTGCACTAGTTGAAGCAGAACCATCTTTAACAGTTGATGAAATTGCGGAACGTTTAAATTCATTCCATGGAACTGTTCATAGACATCTACAACAAATCGGAAAAGTTTCAAAGCTAGGAAAATGGATACCACATGAACTGTCAATAGCTAACCGACAACAACGTCAACTGCTCAACTCAAAAGCTTCAACTGGGAAATTTTACCTCGTCCACCATATTTGCCAGATATTGCTCCCAGTGATTATCATCTTTTTCAGAGTTTGCAGAATTTTTTAAAAGGGAAAAGTTTTGAGGATGAGAACAATGTAAAAAAGGCTGTTTCTGAATATTTTGATTCAAAACCGAAATCATTTTACAAAGACGGGATTAAAAAGCTACCATCAAGATGGCAAGAAATTGTACAAAATAATGGTGAATACATTATAGATTGAAATAAGATTTAATTAAAATTTTTTGTTGCTTTTTTTGTAGATAAAAATGCGCACGAACTTATGGACTGACCTGATACATATTACAATGGTAACCTTATTTCACTGGGTATATAAATTACAATGGTTAAACATGATATGAAGGAGATTGATGATGCCATAGATAAACAATATACAATACACTAGTAGAAGCTGAGTAGCATACATGAGTAGCATAGAGGATGTGGAATTACAAGTTGCTTATGTTGGTCTGCTGGAGTTAATACATACAATAGTTTTTATTGTAGTTACATTTTAATTAATATGAATTATTTGTCTCATGTTGAAGTTAAATGAAACATGTTATCATTTAAACTTTATTTTATGAATTACAGTATTAAAAAAGTAGTATATTCAGTTACACGTTCACTTTGTATAATGCCAAATCTCAGTTGATTCAGTAATCAGGGTTCTACTGTAACAATGTAATAAACAATTTTACTTGATTTCACTTTTTATTTTACTCTAATAAAATTTCAAAATAATGTCTTCTTCAGATAGAATAGAATATTGAATAAAGAATAATTCATTATGTAGGTTGATGTTATTGTATTTAAGGATTTTATTTATTTATTTATTTTTAGTTAAATATAGTTTTTGAATTTTTAGTTTATTTTTTTACAGTTAAATAAAACCTTAATATAAATACAAATTTTGTAACATTGATGGGATTTAATTATCAAAATTTATTTAATTAAGCCAATGATTCTCAAACTTTTTGGTGTTATGGCTCTCCCTGAAAGCTTGCTCAATTCTTTGACCCCCCATTTGGAAAGTTACATTTTTACTGAACTGTAAGCAAGAATTGTATTGTAAACTCAGAAATGATAACTAGAACTAAAAGATAATGAAACTGAAAATGTTTATTTTCAAATCAGTAAGATCGTTTTCTTTCTTGAGGAAAATTTCTTTATTTAAAATAAAAATGTTTGATTCCATCTCTCACTGTTTGGCTGCCTTCTTACAAGGAGAGGGTCAAATGTTTGGGTCTTGATTTAAACGAAACTTGGTGAGTATGTAGCCCTAAACACAGACAGCTCCATATCCAAATAATAGGACCCACTTCTCAAGTGTTTCTGAAAAATGGGCCTCAGAAAATTGAGCATTTAGCTTATGTCTTTGGAAGTTTCACATTTCCTTGGAATGGTGATAGCTGAGAGCATGAGATGCTAATCAGTGGAGCTACACGATGTAGGTTCAAACCTTTGCAAATTTTTTTAGTTTTTTTTTTATTGTAAAATAATAAAATAATTATGTTACACATATCATTAGCATTATTATTACTATTGTTATTTTTCTCATTTAAAGTTTATAACACAGAAGATTAAAAATCATGATGTTATTTCCTGTTTAGCAAAAATGAAGTCTCTGCATTTCAAACAAAGTCTTTTATGTCATTAAATAAAATTTTTATTTTTTCATATTTATTTTCACATATTTTTATTTGTTATTACATATTATGTTACCACAAGTGAACATGCTTCAGACATTAATGCTTATGGATGAAAAAGACAAGTCTGAGATGAAAATATGGTAGTACAGTTGCCTTTTTTTTTTTTTTTTATTGTTAATGTTATGGACATTTTCCTCACATGCTCATGTTTGCTATACTTCAAATATAACAATACCACTATATCTGAAAATAAATATGAAGAAATAAAAATTTTATTTAATGACATACATTTACATAACTTTGTTAATTGAAATGAATAATAATGTTAAATTATGTTTTCTTTATTATATACAAATTTTTATTTTATTTGGTTGAATATATTATATTTGCTAAATTTTTAAATTTAAACATTTTCATTAGGTGAGAGTTGTACAAGGAGCAGAACCACAACATTTCCTACGTATTTTTAAAGGAAAAATGATTATTTTTATGGGAGGTCATGCCAGTGGATTTCGTAATGTAAGAGATCATGATACTTATGATCCAGAAGGCAGTAGAATGTTTAGAATTAAAGGAACTAATGATTATGATGTCAGAGCTGAACAGGTTAGATTTTATTTTTATAAAATTAACAGTACAATTAATATATTACCATTTGATTCAAACTATTTTAATTTAATTTTGTATTACATTTATTTTTGAATTTATATAATATTAGGCCAAGCTGCAGCAGGCCCTGTACAAACCTAAGCTGTAGTTTGTTAGTTGTTGTAGGACCTCTTGCACATGTCCATACTGACACATGGCATTTTATACTGTTTTTCATATTGTTAAAGCAGGCACTCCAAAGCATTCCGTTTTTTAAATTGGTTCAAATTTTAATGGACATTCAAATTTTTATTTTTTATTGATTGTGTTCTATTAACAAAACAATGAGATTCACCTGAAGCAGGACTTAGGAGGAACCTGAAAACATTATTGCAGTGTACATATTACCGACACCAGATAATAGGTTTATCGTGTGGCAGTTGGCCATATTATTGTATATTTTGTATTTTTAATTTAAGTTAGCTTAGTATTTTCTTTGTTCTTTTGTTTTAACTTTTCTAGAATTTTCCTTTTTAATCCTTTTTTCCTTGGGTGGGGTTACAATTCCAAGAAGTGCAAGTTGAAACAAAAGTAAAGATAAGCCCTGGGGCCAGCAAACAAAGAGGGGAGGATAGTCTTTGGTCAGAGCTCTTTGGGAGAAGACATGTGGAAAGGTAGTGCTCGAGATCACGTGGAGGCAGATTGGAGACTACAAGGGCTTTAGAGAAGAGAGTAAAAGTTTTGGGCTCAGATTCTGGTGAGTGAGGATGGAAAAGGGTAGTCTTCAGATCAGAGATCGGACGATTGGAGACTAAGTGGAGCCATTGGAATTGGAAACAAATACTTTCCAGAAAGGAACTTTGAAAGGAATATTGTGAGAATACCATACAAAAAGGTGTACAGGTGTACAGGAACAACAATAAGACGACAGTCAAAGAAAGACCTCAGGACGGTAGCCCACCCAAGATTACAAAGCCAAGGAATCCTGGGTATTTCTATCTTTCCCTCTCACTGTCCTTAAACATCTACTTTTCCTTTCCTTCTTTAGTTATAAGTAGAATAAGTAATAGATTTAAGTCACCCCATGCATATTTGTTGTGTTTCATTAGACCTGTTGTCCGGGAGGAGAAATGCAACACCTGTGTGCACATAACTCATTGTTTTGTATGTTGAGATCATCATATCAAGAACCTGTTCGATTTGAAAATAAAATACTTTGTGTTAATCTTATTAACGTGTATTTTCTGTATTATTCCGTTCACGGGGTCACATACTCATTGCATCGAACATCACAATAGTGTGATCTATTTATCATTTGGTGTGGGTGCTCTTTTTTGTATAATTGAGTGGAAGAGAAGAAAATGCTATCTACAGCTGAAGGAAATGGAAAAAAAAGGATTAAAATGACTGAAGCAAAGCATAAGTACTGTACATAACTGCTGTTCGTAATATGGGACAGTCTCTCCATAAGCTTGGTCAAAAGTTTAAAATATCTTGTACACATGTACGTGAGATATTAAAGAAAAGGAATATTGCTAGTAGGATTTCTGTACCCAAGTACATGGTGAAACAGTTAGAAAGTCAAACAAGTTTACTCAAATGACTAAACAAAGGAGATCTGCAGCCTGAAACAATCTGAATGTCATTATGGATGACAAATCTTATTTTACAATGGATGGATCTAACAGTGTGGGAAATAAAAGTTTTTACTCTGAAAAAGGAAAGGACATTATGCCAGAAGTAAAGTTAAACATCATGCAATGTTCCAGATGAAAGTTTTGGTGTGGTGATCATAAGCCCTTGTAGGCAGTCTCAAGCCTTCTGTCTAAACTTTGTATTAACATGGAAACATATACTGTAGAGTGCATCAAGAAGAGATTAATGTATTCATGAAGAAGCACTATCCAAGTGGAAATTAAAATATGTTTAATGTACCTCAACTGAGACCAATTGAATGGTTTGGTACTAGTTAAAACAGTAAATGTATGAGAGAGTAATATGTATGGGAAGCCAATTCTATCCTCTCTCATACAGTTTCTGTGTTAACTAGTACCAAACCATTAACTCCTAAAATGAGTGAGGACTTCTAGAATCCTTTGAAATGTTTGAAAAAAGTTTGAAAGGCAGCAGATGTAGTAGATTTAATTTTGTTAAACTGACAGACTACCCAAATATTTTATTCTTTAATTTATTTTATGTGCAATGTTCATTTTGTAATCTTAAAACTTCTGGAATAGATTCATTTTCTTATTCCAAAATTTTAGTTTACACACCTTTATGTTGTTGCAGATTATATAAATTGTTTTTTTTTTGTTAACAAAAAATTGGTAAAATATAGGTAAAAATTGGTAAAATATATAGATAAAATATTATGAATATACAAAGCATATTTTCTGTGTATTTTTGGAATAAAGTATGAAATTTAAAAAAAAGGCAAATATTTTGGCATGTATGCAGAATTTATAGGAATGGAAAAGATTAATATTTCAAAACACAATAAAGAATATTTAAATACAGATATTAAAAAAAAATAAAAATGATACGTTCTTTTATGTTTTAGGTTCCAGAAGCAGCCAATTCTTTAAATTCTGGAGATGTTTTTGTTGTAGAAACACCATCAACTACATATATTTGGATTGGAAAGGTATTAAAAATATTTCTAAATAAACTACAATAAATAAATATAACTGAAATATTTATTAACTTATATGCTAACTGTAAACAGGAAAATTTGAAATTGAAAATTTCTCTACATAGAATTAACAAATATCTAGCAAATTTCAAATTTATAGATTTTAATAGATTGAAAATGCTTGTTCATAATTAAATCATACTATTTACTTAGTGACTGAAAAAATTAAAAATTATTTTTAGAGATATTTTTGAATATTTAACTTTGTTTTTAAAGATATAAAACATTTTTATAGGAATCTAGTGAAGATGAAAGAAATATGGGAAGAAACATAATAAGTTTAATATCTCCTGACAGGTAAAATTATTTTATATTTTTATATTTATGTTATCAATTCCACTTTCTCAAATTGAAATAGAGACTTGATATCTGAGATTTATTACATCTACAAACCTTTTATGGTGCGACATTAAATAAAAATAACAAGAAAAAGTTCTCACAAATGTTTGTGAGAACTTTTTCTTGTTATTTTTATTTAATGTCGCATCATAAAAGGTTTGTAGATGTATAAATTTTATTTCACGGTGTTATGATAAAGTTTTATTACATCAGTTTAAAGTTATTGTAGTGCATAATATTGCTTGAACACGTATTATTTTTATGTATTTTCTATATTTTCTTCATTTATTTCCAATAAATTCTTTATAGTAAAATAAGTACAAGCAAGTAAAGTAGGGCAAGAGCTTAAACATTTGCAAGTAGATTATTTTACTATAAAGAATTTATTGGAAATAAATGAAGGAAATATAGAAAATACCTAAAAATAATAAATGGCCAAGGAGTTTTACACACTATGGTAACTTAAAACTGATATCCTAATCTCAGTTGAATGAAAATGAAACTCCTTCTATACCATACAACAGACCTACCTTGGCTTAAACACCTAGAAAGAGTTGAAATCTACAAAGAGAGGGACAGCAGTTAACTTTAAAGAAATGGACTTGATTTTGTCTGCTTGGAGAGCACTATTTGATTCCCTTGAGCATTACTTTTGTATCAGACATGCACAACTCTCCATGTGCTGGAACATTCATTTAAAATGTTCTGTTCCAAAATAAATTTTTAATTTTCTTGTTCTATTCTTTACTCTTTCAGTTAGACCTGATAATGTCCATTGTATACAGAATATATTAGTTTACAGTAAATTTTTAGTATCTTACTGGTTATTGGTGTTTGTAATGTAATTTAGTTTCATTTAAGACAGTTAAAATAATTAAATCTGATATTAAAAACTAGTACTTATAAAAATAAGCTGTTATGTTTTAATTGCAATACTTGAGATACTTTCATCCAAATTAGAGAAAGTTATCATATATTACAGTTTATTTAATTTGAAGTTTTTATTTAATTTGAAGTTTTTATTTGATCGTTTATATCATAAGAACTGAGTTAAATAAACACTATTAACATAACAGATGTTTAAAAAGAAACTAAATAAATTTAAGAAAGAAAAATGAAAAAAGTTATATCCATTTATTAGCATTAATAAAGACAAATAATTAGTAAGAACTGAGCAAGAATATAAGAATTAAATAATTATTTGTTCAATTTGATTTTCTTTGGAAATTATAATTTTAAATTTAGTTTAATGATACTTCCCTCATACTTTCCAGGCTTGATGGCCAAGATGATAAAGGCACTACTAGTCTGCCGTTTTCAAAGAGATCTGAGTTCAAATCCAGGACAAAACTTTAGGAATTTTTCATGGGAAATCTGTCTTAGATATGTTATATCATATCCTTTATCATCTGGCTACTCCCATTGTTGGTGTAAAAAACAAAAAACCTTTTAGTACCTGTAGGGCAGAAGTTTTTTAAAAAAGTTCTTATCCAAAAGCCAGCAAAGGAATTTCAAATTTTTAATGAGACTTATTTTTTATTTAGATGGTATTTTCATAGTTTTTGAAAAAAGTCATTATTATTGTTAATATTTGTTTTTATACATATTATCTAAAAAATTCTAAAGGTAAAAATGAAAACTGTTATTCTAACAAATCAAGAATTTAAAGATTGTATAATATTTATCTGTAGATATGCATATTATCATATCTTACTGTGTTTTCATTTTTGAGATTGTTTTCATTGATTATAAAATTTTTAAAAAAGAAGTTTATATTTATGAAAATGGTTGTGAAATTTATGAATTTATAAAATTTTTAGAGAGGCAGTAGAAATTATGGAAGAAGAAGAACCTGATGAATTTTGGGAAGGTATTGGAGGGAAAACAGAATATGAAAAATTTACTGGTTTGCCAGAAAAGCCTCTTTTGGAACCACGTCTGTTTCGATGTTCCACAGATACTGGCAAACTTAGAGTTGAAGAAATATGTAATTTCACTCAGGAAGTAAGTAAAAAAAGGGGAGTTTGAATTTATCAATTTACACTTATAATTATCAATTTTATTTATTTTTAAAATAGTTTTTAAGTCTAATTAAATTAATAAATGCTATGGGAATTTATATTAACAGAAATGTAAGATAATTAAAGAAACACAAGTGAATAACCAAAAATTTATATAAGATAATATGATAGAAAAAAATCAAAATATGTATTAAAGATAGTATGATGTGGTTTCAGCTGTTGTATTTATTTTGAAACAGTTACATCTTTTAGATATTCATTTATTTTTAATAATCTTATAACAATTTTAAAATAATCAAAATTAAAACTGCTATAATAAAATGTATAAAATATTTTTGTTATAATTCTGACATTCACATTTTCATAGGATTTAGCTGAAGATGATGTTATGGTTCTTGATTCTGGTGATGAAATATTTATCTGGATAGGAAAAGGTGCCAGTGAAGATGAAAAATCACAGTCATTAAAAATGGCAGAAGTAGGTTTTTACTACAGAATTATTATGATGCATATATTTTTTTACAATAAAAATTTTCAGTTATTGTGTTAATAATCTTAGTTCAATATTTTAACTCAATTAAAAACTTCAGACTAGGAGGCGTTAAAGAGAATTAAAAGAAATATTTTAATCTTGCAAGCGCTTCCAACGTAAATATGTACGTCATCCTCAGGCAATTCAAAATCGAATAGAGAATTCAAACAAAACATTTAAATTTAAGCATTAACGATATTAGCCGTTTTTGGAACATAACTATTAAAAAATAATAAGATTTAAATTTTAGAATTAAAAACATTTAAAATTGGCGCGCATGTGTCTTAAAACAAATAAACCCCGATTGGAATGGCTGTTAATTAAGATCATGGAAATTAAGAAGCCTTTTTTTTGTAAATGCAAAAAATTGGTGCCCATGCACCTTAACATGCATAACATAAGAGCCAATTAGAATGGCTATTAAGAACAAGTAAATTTTAGACTTTAAATTAAAAACATTTTGTAAACACATATAAAATTGGCATGCATGCGCCTTAACAAAGACAGCATAGAAGCCAATCGAGATAGAGCCATAAGTGCAAGTTTATGTTAAAATTTAAATATAAAAATGTGGGACATAATTTAAAATACATAAAACACATGTAACATATAAAAATATGCACATAAAGAGGCCGACACATATGTGCCTTGAACCACATAGGAGGTGCGGGAAATGAGTGTAGAATTATTATTGTTTTTTAAATGTCTGTATAAATTAATCCAGATGTCTGTAAGTTGAGAGTAAGGGAGTTGCATAGGGAGAGCAGTTTTGTGAGGAGGGCCTCCCAAATATATAGCAAGCTCCCTTCATCACAGTGTTTGAGTATTGCCACCTGATTCCAAAGCGCTATGTGGTGTTGTTGTATCACCAATTTGGAAAGTTTAGTGTCGCAATTGCCAAGTGCCACCGAACGTTGGTGTTCAGATACGCAAGTAGCCAGCATTCTGGTAGTCACTCCTATGTAATAGGTGCATAGTCCTGATATTGGATTCTGCAGGGGAACGGAGTATACACCAGATTATTCCAGGGTGGAAGTAGCATCTCTATCATTACACAAGATTTGTCGCAGACATGGTCATGGGGCAATGGGTAAACAAAAACCATTCTGCCTAAAGATCCGTCAGATCCGGGCTGTGAAGCGTCCACAGTATGGGAGTGAGGGACGGAACATTGTCCAATCCCTTGGTCTGCGCAATGTGGTGGCAGGGAAGAGGGACTGTATAATGCTGTTTTTGACATGGATGTATTTGGAAGAACTAAATCCCACCACGTATACTGCTGTGCGGACAGCTTCCAGTTCAGTATTGATAAGATGTTGTGTCGATGGTAGTAAGAATGCCCATCTGATCAAGGGAGCTATGGCTGCATTAACATATTGCTGTGGTTGACAGGCTGTGGCCAGTATTATGGGTGGGATATTGCCAAACTTGTGATAACGGAAAACTCCAAGCCTTCCTGGGATTTGTGAATGTGCAAGTCCAAGAAAGTGATTTTTCTCTCAACTTCCTTCTCCCAAGTGAAGTGTATAGAGGAATACATCTTTGATAAGTGATGTTTTAAGTGATGATCCTGCCACACCAAAAGAATATCATCTACGTATCTTAAATAAATTAAGGGGTAAGCTATGGTGAGAGGGAATTTAAAAACGCTGTGTTCAAGGGCCGCATGATATTTTATTTATTCAATATTTTATTATGGCTTAGGGCTGGATTTATATGCATTTAATCCCAAGACATGTGCACATATCCACATAAAACTGCCTGATTTATATAACTGCTACATGCACATTAAAACACCTGTAATATGCATTTTTCATGTTAAAAGTACCAGTAATATACAGTAAAATCTGTAGGTTGAAATGCATACTACTTCTGTCAATGAGTATTTCTTACTAATGTCTATTATATCACATAAAATTTTATAACTTATTATGCTATCTAATCAATCATTATTGATTTATTTCTATATATACAATTTTCAGATGTTTGTATTTGAGTGGATTAAATTAATAAATATAATATTTACAATAATTTGACTTCAATTCATTTGAAAGATTATAAAAATTTGAAAAATAAGAAATGTTTCCTTGGCAATGCAAAAATGTGTTAATTTGTGGAACTTTAAAAGAATGCAAGTTAAATTATTCAAATTCAAAACATTTGAATTTTGTGCACTTGTTTATAAAATTGTTTATAAAATGATATTTTGCACATAAACTGTAATGTACTGTACATGCATAAAAAAGATTCACTGCACAGTTAGCAGAAATTGACTATAGATCATTTGTTAAAATTAGCACTTGCAGTTTTACAAACAAGCACTTAGTCCCAAAATTGTCAAATCTGTGAAATATGCAGTAAAAATTGTAAGAACATATTTTGTGTGTTTTTAAAAAGTATATAAAATATCCATTTTTGGACAAATTTAATTTGATCCACTTGGACCCAAATCATAATTAATATCAGGGTTCTAACATCATAGCAGTTAAGAAAAAACATGCACATGTATCCAGGAATTAGTTATGACTATATTTAATTCTAACTCATTATAAAAAGTTACTGGGCTTAGATATTGCATATAATAATAATTTTATAAATATTTTAATAAATAACAATGACAATATTTAGAATTACAATTGTATAAATTTCAAATTATTTTAAAATAAATAATAATAAAAATTTATTTATTTATAGGATTATATTAAAACTGATCCCACAGAACGTACTTTAGACAACACTGTTATTATAACAATTAAACAAGGAGAAGAGCCAGCTACATTCATAGCAATATTTGATGAATGGAATTCAAATATGTGGGACGTGAGTTGATTTAATTGAAAAATGCATTTTTTTATGTTATAATTTAATAATAATCTTTATAAACTATGCATAAATTATATAATAATTTTAAAACTTTATATTTCAGATTAATAAATAATGTTAATGTTAATTTCAAATTAACAAATAATGATAAAAGCTAAGAATAATTTATAATATAACTTTTTAACAATAATAAAATAAAAATATATTATAATTTGTAAATTTAATATTATATAATAAGTTCTAGGAAAAAATAATAATAATAAAACAACTTGTATCAATGCCATAAAAACTAATAAGAAGGCAATTAAAGAAAACTGATAATTCATAAAATTTATTTAATTAATATTTATATTTGTAAACTTGGATTTTCAAATAACCCCATAACCAAAAATCACAAAGTTTAGATTAGGAGAACATTGTGATCAAAAGCATTAGAAAACATTTGATAAATTAATCTGTCCTCTCCAAATATGGTATGCAACATCTTATGACCGTATGTGCATTGTGGAGTCTTATCCATATTGCATGTCAGCAACACAACTGTTGGCTCCATCTAGCATGAAGATTATGCAGGCTAGGCAATTTATTTCCTGCAAAGCCAGGATAATCTTGGAATGGAGAAGATCTATATAACACAAAAAAGAACATTCTACATCAGGTGACATTTAAATTGCACTATAAACCTATTGTCTGGTGTCAGTAATATATATACTCCACAAATATTTTCAAACTCTTCCAGAGCCCTGCTTCAGGTGGATCTTGCTGTTTCATTGATAGAACACATCACAAAAAAATAAAAATTCGAATGTCTGTTAAAAAATGAACTAATTTAAAACAAACAGAATGTGTTGGAGCATCTGCTTTAAGAGTACGAAAAACAGAACAAAATGCCAAGCATCAGTATGTGTATGCACAAGAGGTCCTACTGTTTGTAAAGGACCTGCCAAGCTGCAGATAGAAAAGGTTCCTCCATGTGATTGATACATGTGCTGTTTATGTTTGCTTTAAAATTTCTTAGGCTTCTAAATATTTAAGCCAGTCAGTGCATTGCATTATTAGGATGCTATTTTGTTGTAAGTGCACCTCTAAATCTGGGTCAGCTGCATATATTGACAGAGATGTAGAGAGCCATGAATAAATGTTAAATGTCTGTTAAATGTCATTTTTTAACAGACATTCAAATTTTTATTTATTTATTTATTTTGATTGTGTACCATCAACAAAGTAGTGAGATTCACCTGAAGCAAGACTCTGGAGGAACCTGAAAACATTTGTGCAATGTATATATTACTGACACCAGACAATAGATTCATAGTACGATTTATAGATCTATATAACAAGCTTCATTCACTGATCACATGGGATCTTGAGATGTGACCGTCTTAATGTGATGCACATTAAGACGGTCACATCTGAATGTTGACTGACTGAAATATCACATCTGAATTATGACTGACTGAAATATCACAAGAAATTAGCAGATTGTACATGTTTTAGTGAACCAATGCCACTTGGTGGCACAAAAATTAACTAATTTTTTTTATTTGTAAATTCTCTTCCCCATGATCTTATTAAAGATAACCATCAATTTTCATTATGTCATGTAGATTTTTCTATACATCACTCTGAGTACTGTCAATTTAATTATAACCACTTTGTATATATGCTATATATTAAATGTTATATAATTTATGAATATATAGCACTGTATAAAATTTTTACAATCAGTGGAAATTTAAATAGAAAATTAAGACCAAATATATATGTTATTGAGATTAACTGCCTTCTAATTTCTGCAATCTCTGTTTTAGTACAGGGTGGGAAAGAAAGTCTGTTAACACCCCTGCTACAGAATAAAAAATGTACCCAAAGTACATTGAGCACATCATGTAACATGGATAATTCTGTAACTGTTTGAGTTAGGTCAATAAAATCTTTCAGCAATCAATTCCTTCTGAAATTCTGACCCTAAATGATGTGTCACATGACCCCTTCTAGTGGCGAGTGGTGAGATATGATGATAGGTCAGCTGTGCCAGCTCTGGATAGAATCATTTGAACATTATACGATATTTTGCTGTGTAGCATCCACAAGCTAAACCGCATGAGGTTGGTGCTCTGTAAAGCACATACACAAATGTGTATAATCTGGCTGCTTCACACAATTCAAATATTTTCACCATGAAAGCTGTCCCATATTCAACAATACAGTGCGTCCATTGGGAATATGCATATACGAATTTATATTTGAATATACAGTAACAATCTTATAATTTTTTTCACATGTATAGAAATTTGTAATAAGATACATAATCCAGTTATAATAAAATATTAATTTTAATTAATTCAAAGTATATTAAAATATGAAAATATTTTATGTATTTATGTATATGTACAATATGTATATTTTAGAAAATACAAGGAAAGCGGTGTTTCCACAGCTTCTATGGACGGCATGCTACTGCCCCCTTCCCATTTACAGTTTTGGAGTTGCATTCAATATGGCGGCCATGTGTGTAACACACATCATACTGTTTTCTCCTCGGTCTAATGTGTTCCTGACATTAGCGAATTAACTTTGAGTGCATTATATATACTGTAGCAATGGTGTTAAGTGACTTTTTCCCCCCACCCTGTCCATTTCTTACATATGAAATATGTTCCCTTACATTCAGTAATTTATTGAATTATTACTATTTTTTAGTATTGATATTTTTCCTTTTTATACATATAACAATAAATTTGAAATTAATTCATTGGGTTTAGTAAATTTACAAATAAAAAAAATGTAAAAACCATTAATGTTATAGTTTTGAGAGTTTGAATTTTCTGTTTTGCCCATTCTTAATTAATTTAAATTTTCATTATTTATTAGATATTTATTATTATCATTACAATTGAATACTGTTTACATTCCAGATTTTTGTAGTTATTTTAATATAAATATATTAGTAAATAGCAGCATTAAAATTCAAAACATTCCTCATTTATCAGACTATTTACATTAGAATCCTTTGTAGCTGATATAAGATAACATAATTTGTGTAAATTATTATATTTAGCTTTTCAAGGATTAAATTTAAAAGAGATTCAAAATCAAAGCATAACATCTCTCATTATTCTGTGTTTTTATTTCTTTCTCTTTTTTTCTCTATATCTCTTTCAATTTATGATTTTGTTTATACTTATTTTTGATAATTTAGTTATGATATTCTAAAAATAGTATAAAAAATAAAATATTTAAAAGAAAGAACAGGAAATTTCTTATTTGACAAGAAAGAAATGATTTTCTTCCTTAGGATTCAGTCTTCCTGTATTAAATATTAAACATTTTCAGGATATTTATTATCAATCAAAATAATCAATAGTTATTACTATAGTTATCAATAGTTATTACTATTGATTATTTTGAGATATTAAACAAATTCATAATATCTCAGAAAATTGTGAAAAGGAATTTTTAATCTGTATAAATTAGCAATAATGATCTTATATACAGTAATTTAAAATCTTTCCATCTTCATTTTATTATTATTTATCTATTCATCACCAAATCAATAATTCTGAAAATGTTTAGTAAATATGGATTTTCACTCCTGGAAGAGAAACTTTACATATAAAATAATGAAATACAGTATATTGCTTCTATATAGAAAAAATAGTTTGAATTCTTTCATTTCTAGATTTGAAATAACTTTTAAACTTTGCATTTTGTAATGATTAAATAATAATGCCAGATTATCTGCTAAATTATTGGACTCTTTTTGGACTATGTTAATGATTAGCTACTAATTAAGGCATATCTGCCTATCTTTAGTCAAATTAATTAGTAATTAATCACTGACATAGCCTGAAAATAGCAGATTGTTTGGCAGATTGTTTGGCATTACAAGTTGTTGTTATTAGATAAAATAATAATATATTGACAATAGACTATACAATATTGTATATATATATATATATATATATAGGGTGGTATATTTTAATTAAACAATCTACTGGAATATTTCAAAAAATGCACATTCTACAAAAAATAAAGTATGGAATCAAAAATCAAACTTCAAGGAGGCCTCAAGAGAGGACTGTCAGTTTCATCATAGATGGTACTAAAATCAGTGAAAAAGGGTCAACTTCATTTATTAAATAGAAACCTTCATTTCTTATTGCATACTATGATTCTACATCAAAAATAAACCAACTTTTATCTAAAGCACTTATTCGAAAGATGCAGTTATCAGAAGTTGTGAGCATTTGAAGTTTTATGCAGTTGCCACATGGTGCACACATGAATCTGTAGATATCTGTGAAATCCATTGAAAAAGAAAGAAAAATGCTTTAAAAAGTCATTAGGAAACTTATTACTATTGGGTGGAATCAAGATCACAATCTTCTCTTTACTACAAGTTTGATGGCTTTAACACACTGTGGGACTAGTTTTTATATCAGTTCATTATTTGAAAAAAAGGAATTATTCCATCAAATAATGTAGTTTCTTAATGACTTTTTTCTTCCTTTTTTCAATAGGCTTCACAGATAGCTACAGATTCTTGTGGTGGCTGCATAAAACTTCAAATGCTCATAACTTCTGATAAGTGTAGCTTTCAAAAATAAAATGTTTTAGGTAAAAGTTTGTTTATTTTTGATGTAGAATCATAATATGCAATAAGAAATTAAGGTTTCTATTTAATAAATGAAGTTGACCCTTTTTCACCAATTTTAGTGCCATCTATGATGAAACTGACAGTCTTCTCTTGAGGCTTCCTTGAAGTTTGATTTTTAATTCCATACTTTATTTTTTGTAGAATATATATATTTTTTGAAATATTCCAGTGAATTAATTAAAATGAACCATCTGTATATATAACATAATTGTATAATGTTATAATAAAATATAATTGTATACATCCAGTATACTGTATATAAATACAATTATATTTTATTATAATGTATTAATAAAATCCTAATCTCTTGAATAATTTAAATTGCTTATTCTTTTAA